TATTAAATAAACAAATACTAAATTGAGCTATTGTTTCCTCTCTTCTTCTTTTGTCCAAGAGTTAATAGTATCCTATTGTACCTGGAACTTGTCAATATCAAATGAGTTAATGTATGTAAGGCATGAAGAAATTAAGTACCCAATGGTATATCTCCTATTATCTTAGCAAAAACAATATTGCACAAAGCTTAAGAAAATTAAATTGCTTTTATTAAAAACTGAACAGCTCTTACTTATGAGAATCAGGCATTAAAATCCTTTGTAAAGTATAATTAAATTACTTTCTAGCTTGTTATATTAAGACACTTTGGATACAGCGCTCATCTTTATTTGTAGGAGACCTCTCTGTGTGTTCATATAGACAGTGTGCCAGAAGTCTCATTTATCATTGTCTTCCTAACAACACTGCTAAATTTTTCCTCCATTTGAAGAGTAAGTGCTGACTTTTATGACATGTGCACCTGAACCCCATACATTTGTATGACTTTGTGTGTGTGAAAAGGTCTCTACATGTTAGGTAACTATTTCTGATATGGTTGTCCTACCAAAATTTACTTAAAATCTCAAATATAGTCAGTGTATCGTATTGTAGTGGATAGCATTGCAGCTTATGACACTAGCGACCCACTGAGTGCCGATTTGATTCTGAGCTGATTCATTTCCAATCTGTCTTGCTGTTTTTGTGCCTGGGAAAGCAGCAAAGGGAGACCCAAGTGCTTGCACCCCTGTCACTCATGTGGGATCCAGAAGCTCCTGGCTTCCAGTTTTGGCCTGGCCTAGCCCTGGCCATTATGGCCATGTGGGGAGTGGGTCAGCAGATGGAGAATCTCTCTGAATCACTCTGTCATGCTATCTCTCCTGCCTCTTTTTCTGTAACTGATTTTGAAATAATTAGTAAATGCTTTAAAAATAGTGTGCTTAAACAATGCAATTAACTTAGAGTTAATATATCATGTTACTTCAGTTTTGAAAAACTCCTAAATTCCTGTGTACTTACAAGCTTGCATTTGCATCTGATAAACAATAAGCTGGAGCTAATACTTGCTGGGTGGTAAGAGTTTTAGCTGCAAGTAACCCGGGAAAAGACTAGTCCCTGGTTTGCTTTTACTGGAATATGGAATAGCATTTTTCAAGCTCAGAACTATAGCCCTTCATCATGAGGGCTGCCCTGTGTGTTACTGGATGTTCAGAAGCATTGCTGGCATCACCCTGCTAGTTGCAGGTGTACCCCCTCTGCCAGGTGGGAACACTCAGGCGCCAGACACCAGACAGAGCTTAATGTCCCCAAGAGCGGGGAATGATCGTCTTCAGTTAAGAATCTTTGGCCTGGTTTATACTCCTCAGCTTTCCAAGTCCAGAGCCTGCATTTACTGGTACAGTCCGAGAAATTGGGTTTTCTGGAATTAAATTCACTAGAGACTGATACTTAATCCAGGATTGCATTTCATATCTAGAGGGAAATATGCCTTGTAGTTATTCCAGGCTTATTACTGCCTGAAGTCCTTTTTTTTTTTCTTTCCCGTGGTGTCAAGACTATCAAAAATTAACTGGGTAATAAATAATGTGGCAAAACTGGAATTGGAGCACACAACTCCTTGAGAGATGTTTTATTCATGCCATTATGGTGTCTAATGGAATTCCTACTCCCCAACCTGAAGAAATCATAATTATGATAGTGTTGTTACACACTGATTTCCTGACATCTACTCGCTTTGTAAATATCACAGTTCTACCACATTCAGATGAGCAGATTCACCAAACTCTGCCTCTGTGATCCCCTCTGTAGGGTTACAGTTACTATCTGAGGGAGGAGTTCTTGGCACTGGATGCCCTCCAAACATGAGTGATCTTCAGAAAATTCATGGAATGGGTACACTCTTAAAAAATTAGGCATGAACTTCGAAATATTTTGTGTTACAGTAGGCCTCTCTTTTAATTCTGTTTCCCATGAGCTTCTTTAGTTACTAAAGAATAAATTATATTGCTGCTAAAAAAAGTCTGTGGGAGCATATAGGATGTGGTCTTGGTGAAGGAGATTAAGTCCGTGGGGCCACTAATGGTCAACAACTGGAACTTGACCAATGTTTGGAAGCCCCTACCTGCCCTTCCCTGATCAGTTTCTCATTTCACATGTTCCACTACTGACAAAAGGAAAAGACACCCCTTCTCTGATTTTAATTCCATTCTTTTACAGCTAAAAGTAGACTGGTATTGATTCTCACTTTATCGTTGGCAAAAACAAATGGACAATAAATATATGCCCTCTAGAGAGAGTGATTGTACAATAGAGGCATTTTACATTCAGGGTATCGATCTGAATCTGCATAATTGATTGTGAATTGCAGCTAAATACCCGTTTTCACCACACATCTGCATACTGAGAATGATTCCAGATTCGCTGCAGTTCCAGTAAATGCATACCCCTGTGTGCACTCTCCTCTTGTGAGTGTGGTGTGTGCATCTGTGTGTGCAAACACACTTGGTGCTTCCCGGAACTTACAAAACATCGTGGGCATAATCAGAATTTCCTTCAACACTCCATGGATTGAAAGACTTTTTATGTATACACTGCCTAATGCTTGAATTACAACGGGATTCGCTGGTGTTAGTACTTAAGCCAATCAATAGACAGGCAGAAAGTGTCTATCTTAAGAGTTAGCTAAGGAATTTCAAGTGTAAAAAGGAGAAAAAGTACATTTTAAATGAAAATGTGACCATGTTAAAAAGTCAAAGTCTGCCTCAGGCACATTTTTGTAAAAGACACTTTGAGGAGAAGCTATATTCAAGCAGAATGAGTGTCAAAAAAATTTCAGGTGAATCTAGATAATTTGTGACTTAATTTAAATTAAATTGATTACTCTCCGTGAAAACATTTGAGATAATCTTGTATGATTTTAATTATTGATGTGTATTAGTTAATTATGAGGGAACTATTTTTCTGATTAGAGCAGGAATGGGAACAATGTAATAATTGCATAAAATGAAAGGAATATTTGATGATTATGTGGGATGAGGAAGCATTTGAATAAATTAAGCATATATGGACAGCATTGTAAACATGATATTCTGATACTTCTCTGATATTTAATTTTTTAACACTAAAAGCAACACTCATGTGATGTTCATGAAAGGATAGGTGACAGATAGATATACATCTGCTTTAGTATGTGCCTGTACATAGATAGGTTGAGATCCACATGTTTGTTACTGCATATGTATTTGTTGTCCTGCAGCGATGGACTTGGCGCACAAAGCCAATAATAACACGCATGAACCTCCGTGATACTGAACTAGCCGGAATTTTATTGCCAGCATCAGACTTTTAAAGAAGGTTGTCACATAGGCACCAGGGGAGGGGGGGGCCGATCCATTTACATTTCAACAGCAAGAGGCAGCTCCCCTATACAGGATCAGTAGTCTAGCAAATCCTCCATCTAAACCTGCGGCCCAGGAAGTTTCCTGTCCTTTCATCTCCATATCAACTGCTCCTGGGTCTTGAAGAGATTTAGGTTTTTTTTGTAAAAGATTCAACATGTCTTCCCCTGTATATGTAGGCATATATAGTCTTATATGTTTTACATATATGTCTATCACCTATCCAATAAAATGGAAATCCCTGAGTTTAGTGCCTTTACTAAGATAAGAGCATTGTCCATTCTGTCCCACTTGAGGGTAAGCTTTTCTCTTTTCCCAATTTTGCCTTCTGACAGAAGTAATTGATCCAAATTTTGTGATTTTTTTTCATTTCTTATTTGAAAAGTAATTTTTAGAAGTCACAGTACTAAAAGCATATTTTGTTTAGTATTCTGAAAACTTTCATCTTATTTGATATATGATCTGATAGTATATGACTTTGCATAACTATTTTTTACTAAAATTTTGTTTCTTAGATCAAATTATTGCATTTTGTGTTTCTGTAGTTGCTTTTTCCTATTACATATGATTCAATTGTGAAGGGCACCACAATTTGTTTCTCTCTCCTTTAGCAAGGGGATATGTGACTTTGTTCATGATATTTTGCTGTTTTAAACAATATTGTCAAAAATCATATATGTTTCTTGTTGTACAAACACAGGTTTCTCTAGCTTGGGGCTTTCTTTTCTTTCTTTCTTTTTTTTTTTTCTTATCATGAAATACAACGAGTTCTAGTATTTACGTAGCACATTGAGCAGGAAGGCACCGCTCCTTAAGACCAGGTTCACACTAAGACATTCTCATCAAGTGAACTTGGGGGAAACAGGACAGGCCAAGGATCACACACACAGGCTGAGGACAAATTGCTTTTTAAAAGCGATGCTCAAGGTCACGCTCCTGCTAGCATTGTGTTAGCACTTCTTCTGACACGTGTTCTCTGGGTGACCTGGCATGGTGCGACTTCTTACATCTGGCTAATTCACTGTCTGTAAAATAGGATCTGAGCACAGTCCTTTTTACAGGTAGGGTTAGGCGTCGGATTATGTAGATACTGTCCTTTGAACACTCTGGTGCTGCCTTGCGCCATTTTTTCTTAGGGCATTTTTTGATATAAAGGAATTTTATTATTTCCTATATTTGGAATACTAATTGTGCACTGGTTCCTGTGTTACTTTCATATGTTTTTATTAAGTTTCATATTTCTACAGTTTGTAGGAGGTTTGCTGTTGTTTACTCTCTTCAAGGTCTTTTGGAAACCATAGATTTTTAATTTTAGTATACTTCCAATTGGTAAATATTCCTTTTATGAAGACACATTTTTTTGTCTCTGGTTTACAGCAACCTTTACTCCCTTAAGATTTCATGTTCAAGTTTCTGTGATACTGTACTTCTGTCTTTCCATGGTCTCCTGCCTTTGAATTCTTTGTCTCACAGAACTCTAGACCTTTAGAATCACACTGTGGATCCTTGGAGGTCCTAGATCCTGGGTGTTGATGTTGTTTTTCTAAGTTGCTTGCTGTGTCTGTTAGTGTGAGGATGCTATCCACACACTGCTGATCCGGGCATCCCACTTTGTCTCCTGGCAGATGACTGTGACACCCCACTCGTGTCTGCCCTGCCTCAGGCATCGTTCAGCAGCTCCTCAGAGCTCTCCAGCACTCATGGTCCTGGGTTTGCAAGGCTGAATCGAAGGGATGGTAAGTTCACTTTTTCCTCTGTATGGTTCACAGGCAATTTCATGACATTTCCATTGCTGCTGAATGAAATCATTATATATGATATATTGTACAAGATAACGCACTTCTAAATTAGCAAATGATTAAAACCCAATTGGCTTCCTTCCTGGAATGGCCAGTGGATACATTCAACTGGAAAATCCTAGATCCTCTTCTCAACATTTAAAGAATGGAAATCTCTTAACGTGGCAGAAATTTTAATATAGTTTATGAATTTTTCTACAACCGTATCCAATCATATGGATGAAGTATTGATGGAAACTTAATTGGCTTTGTATTTCAAGTTAAACAACAAAGTTGGCAAGAAGTAATTTTAAAAGTTGCTAGTTATTAAAAAGTAGTAATCCCTCAGTTTCTTTAATTCTCACTATGGTTGACAAGATTTGTTTTTCCTGTTGAAGAACAGGAACTTAATAAATCTTTCATGCTCCTTAAGGAATACTCAGTTCATATTGTTTACTATCTCTTAGCTAGGTGGTATTTGATTACCTGAATATGTTTAAAGGAAAGTGAAGATAATTAAATGGCACTTGTAGAACTAAGAGAGAACTTCAAAACACCACGTATTTAGAGTACCATTGTGATCTCTATGTAAGGTAAAAGTCATCTTCACACATGTGAAACATAAAAGAGGCCTGGGTGATGTGAGGGTACTTCAGAAAGTTTGTGAAAAACGTGAATTATAAAAACACTATTTGTGCCTTTCAAAAAATTTGGGGGGCACAGATAAACATCTTCTATCTCCATTTGCCATGCACTGTTTCAAGTACCCTTCTAGTAAAACAGAAAACATTTTAAACAAGCAGAAGAAAAGAGGTGCCAGAATCGCATACTGTTAAAACTACACTTCAACCATTTATTATCTCTTTCTTTCATTCAAAAAATCTCTTGGCTACTTCTTGTAATGTACTTCTTTTGTAATATTTGATGTCATTTAATCATGTGTGTGAGTATCTATCTTTATGTTTTGCCATCTGGTATAGATTATTCATATCATACATAGCTATATATTATGAAGTGGATATTGTACGACACTTAGATAGATTGTTTTAAGCTGGTTTATTCCGAACTTCCATGTCAGGTTATCTGAGATCCTTAATGCATACATCTGCATGTGAGAAGCAGAAACTGAGATCTTTGTATCAGATGGGTAATCTGGCAGAGTCTTGATCTCCATGGGTAGAAAATGGCTGTCTGCTCCTCCTCAGTGTTTTACAGTGAGAGTTATTGGTCCCTATTTTCAATTCCGAATCCCCGACTGACCTGGCAAGCATTCTCTCCTCGCCCTCATGGATCCTGCATCCAGGGCCCAACCAGTGGGAATGCTGTTATCCCAACATCAATCTTATAATAAGGTCTCTGCCGGGTACTTTACACTTCACATTTAGTACCCTACTTTGGAGGACTAAAAGCTTTCACAGAATGGGGCCTACTGAAAGAGACACAATATTTACTTTATCTCTGTATCTTTATTTCATTTGCTGAGGCTCAATAAATCACAAAAATATATGCTATTAATTGAATCCAATATTTTTTTTCATTAAGTTATATACTCATCAAGAGTCTCCATCAGTGGGACTCATTTTCATTCTTAATTTATTTCTGTGGCTCTTGGTGAAACACAATATCAGACTTCATGAATCTCATTTGCATGTTAATGAAACTGAGAAACAAAACAGGATGATTTTAATTATCTTTTGCTGGTTGTCAACCTAGTTGATTACATTTTTTCCCTTTCTTTAGTTTTCCTTTTTTCCCTATTAATTACATGAAGTGTTCATTAAGGAATGTCAGATTTTGAGTGATTTATGAAAACTATATGTTATTTCTAGTATTGAAACATTCTGTGTCACGTTAGCAGCAGGCGGGGTAAGCAAGTTCAGTCAAGTCAGCAGATCATGTGTAAATTGAGAAAATAAACATTCCAGTGCTCTAGAGTGAGTGTGGTTTGCCCCTTACATCTTCATGTAGTGGAAACGGTGCCTGTGTGACAAAATACTGTAAGGTGGTAGACTCTTTAAGAGGTGGGTTGAAGTGCGAGGTCAGTAGGTCAGGGGGGCATCATTTCCAGAAGGGATTTATACTAGACTCACAGGATGAGTTGATTCTGCTGCGTGTGAGTTCTTTTTTTGGTGTGATGATATACTTTTGTATCATTATTTTTCACAATACGGTTCTATAGACCCGAGGATTCCCCCTCCACTCTCTCATCCCCCTACCCCACTGTCTTCTCCCGTATTATTACAGTACTGTCGTCCTTCAGCACACGCACAGGTTGAACATTCTTCTATTGAAGTGTTTCGTGGGATTGTAGCTATAGACAATGGTAGAAAGTCCAGTAGGCTATGGTGAAGACATATTTAACAGTTTCATCATGAATTGTTTATTTGGGAGTAGGGGTGCATCTTACAATGTATCTTTACTCCTTGGTATACAAGTTTCCATTATGCAGTTGATATGTGAGAATATGTGTGTATACATGTTTGCCTATATATCTATTTATCTTGTATTTCACATGAAGGTTACTTATTTCAGAGAAAATATATAATATTTGTACAGTTGGAATTTGATTATTTCACTGAGCATAATGATCTCCAGTTGAGACCATTTTATTGCAAATGGTAGAATTTCATTCCTTTTAATGGCTAAGTAGTATTCCACAGAATAGATGTGCCACAGTTTTTTTTTTATCCATTCCTTTTTCGACAATTGTCTGGGTTGTTTCCATATATTTTCTATTGTAGATTGTGTTGCTATAAATATAGGATTCCAGGTCACTTTTGCATATATCTCTAGGGATGGGATTGCTGGGTCACGTGGTAGATCAGTTTTCAGTTGTCTTAGCACTCTCTGTACTGACTTACATAGTGGCTGCACAGGTCTATCCCATTAACAGTAGAGTAGGGTACCTTTCTTCCCACGCACATGCCAACAAGTATTCTTTTTCAAAGATTTATTTTTATTGGAAAGGCAGATATACAGAAAGGAGGAGAGACAGAGAGGAAGGTCTTCTGTCTGATGGTTCACTCCCCAAGTGAGCACAACAGCTGGAGCTGAGCTAATCTAAAGCCAGGAGCTAGGAGCTTCTTCCAGGTCTCACAGGGTCCCAAGGCTTTGGACTGTTCTTGACTGCTTTCCCAGGCAACAAGCAGGGAGCTGTGGGGATTAGAACCGGTACCCATATGGGATCCTGGCATGTTAAAGGTGAAAACTTTAGCTGCTACACTATATGCCAGGCCTGCCAACAAATATTCTTAGTAGATTTCCAAATGTAGGCCAGTCTCACTGTAATTAGGTAGAACCTCAGTGTGGTTCCCTAATAGCTAGAAAGCCTGATCATGTTTAAGTCTATTAGCTATTTGAATTTGTTCTTTTAAAAAATGCCTGCTCTTTTCAGTTGTCCATTTCTTCACAAAGGTATTTGTTTTGCTGTCATTGAGTTTCTGAAGTTCTTTATAAATCCTGGATGTTAGATCCCTATCTGTTGTGTAGTTTACAAAGATTTTCTCCCATTCTGTTGGTTGTTACCTCATTTTGTTTACTGTCTCCTATGCTGTATAGAAGCTTCTTGGTTTGATGTAGTCCCATTTGTTTATTCTGGCTTTGACTTCTTGTGCTTTTAGTGACTTTTCTAAGAGGTCCTTACCAATGCCTGCATCTTGTAGAGTGCTTTCCTCTATGTTTCCTACTGGGATGTCTGCTTTTATTAAATATTTTTATTTAATATAGTGTTGGAAGTTCTTGCTAGAGCTATTAGGTAAGAAAAAGAAATTATAGGAATTCAAGACAGAAATGGGGAGTTACAATTATGCCTGTTTACAGACAACATGGTTTTATACATGGGAGAACCAAAAGATACAATAAATAGACTATTGGAACTCATAAAGAATTTTGTCAAGGTAGCAGGGTACAAAATTAATGAATATAAGTTGATGGCCTTTGTATATACAAGTTCCATGGCTTGTAAGTACAGTCCTCTTTATATAGCAGAAAGTAATCTTAAATATCTTAGATAACCCCAACCAAAGATGTGGAAGTCCTATATAATGATAATTACAAAACATTGAAAACATTAAAAAAAAAAGAAATATAGGAAATTTTTTAAAAATGGGGAAATTTACCATGTCCTTGCATTGGTAGATCAATATCAACAAAATGTCCATATTTTAATTGCAAATTCAGTGCAATCCCAATCAAAATCCCAACAACATCATTCTCGGAAATAGAAAAGATGATACAAATATTCATCTGGAAACCAATAAGTTCATGGAGAGCCAAAGCTATACTGAAGAAAAAACAAAACTGGAGGAGCCACAGTTTCAGACCTCAAGCCATACTACAGGGCACTGATCATCAGAACAGTCTGATACTGATTTGTACAGAAGCAGAGAAGATCAGTGGAACAGAAAAGAAACCCCAGCAGCGAGCCCATACATGTATAGCCAACAAATCTTTGACAAGAGGACTGAAAATAAACCAGGCAAAAAGGATAGTCTCACTCTTTTTTAAAAAAAAAATTTTTATTTCTTTTTATTGAAAAGACAGATCAGATTTATGGAGAAAAGGTGAGAAAGAAAGACCTTCCAGCCTCTGGTTCACTCCCCAAATGGCCACAATGATCGGAGCTGAGCCAATCCAAAGCCAGGGTTCAGAAGCTTCTCCCAGGTCTACCACCACCACCCTTGACTGTTCCCCCAAGCCATAACCAAGGAACTGGATGGGAAGTGGAGTAGCCAGGACATGGACTGGTGCCCATATGGGATCCCAGTACTTGCAAGGTAAGGATTTAGCCATTGAGCCAATCCCAAATGTTGGTCTATTGAATAAATGCTATTGGGACAATTAGATAGCAGCCTGCAGAAATAAGAAACAAGAACCCTATCTGTTCACTTTATGCAAAAATCAGAACTAGACGGTTCAAGGACCTCTGCTTCTAGCTGCATGGGGCTTGCTCTATCTCT